GAATGTCTGTAAGACAGTGGTGTGTCAGCATGAGTCCCAGAAAGGGACAGATCCAAGCCCCCCCGAGAATGTCTGTAAGACAGTGGTGTGTCAGCATGAGTCCCAGAAAAAGACGGATCCAAGCCCCCCCGAGAATGTCTGTAAGACAGTGGTGTGTCAGCATGAGTCCCAGAAAGGGACGCATCCAAGCCCCCCCCATCCGAGAACGTCGTAGTTACCTGGACATTTCCAGAACCCTCAGTCTCAGTCAATGATATTAAGAATTAGATTGCCATAACCCCATATTTTCACCAGAGAGCTGGTTGAAAATTTTAGACTCGCGGCAGGTCGAGCAGAATAAGACCAATATGGAATGGTAGACACATGCATTATTATTTGAGTGAATAAATTTACTACTGTATCCATAATATTAATTTAAATACTAGTCCATAATATTCATGCACTTCACAAAAACACAAACAGCTCTAAACAGTAAATTAACAGCATAAAGACAGTAAATTCTATGACATTTTAAGGATTTCATAAGCAAAACCTATAATTTCATGGGCATCCATCCATTTTCTGTAATTGCTTATCCTAGTCAGGATCACAGGGGGTCCAGAGCCTATCCTGGAGGCTCTCCAGGGGAGAACATGCAAACTCCACACACATGGAGCCATGGTGGAGACTTGAACCCAGGTCCCAGAGGTGTGAGGCCGCAGTACTAACCCCTGTACGGCCCTATTTCATGGACATATTAAATTAATAAATATGCACACGATTTAGTACATTGTGTGCATGTAATTATTTTTAAAAATATGTCCGTGGCCCCTCCAGGGCTCTGTGTATATCACTGGTTTATATCATTGGTTTATACTGTTATGTCACAGAAAACATTAATTATAGTGCAAACTGCAAACGAGAAATAAATAGAATATAAATATTTGTATGTGACAAATGAAGGTGTCCTTTCAGAATGAAGCGTTACGACTAAGACTCCGCATCCAAGGGCCCGCCCTGAGAACGTGTCGTAGTTACCTGGACATCGCCAGAACCCTCAGTCTCCCGCCCTGAGAACGTGTCGTAGTTACCTGGACATCGCCAGAACCCTCAGTCTCCCTCAACTTCATGGTGGCCAATTTCAGCAGCTCACTGATACCCAGTAAAAACTGGTTTGATGTCCTTCTCACTGCCTCTAGTACCCAGGACCGATGAGAGGTCTACAAACACACGTTGTAGCTCGTTTTGGTATAAACCTCCACTACTACACTTTTCCTCTTTTAAATACACACTCAGCTGTATATGGATATAAGCCCAGACACCTCTGCTAGAAGAGTGTTATGTTTGTAGGACTCTCCTTAAGACCTTTCAGGTACAACTTTCAGAGCCACATTTTGGTTTTGGGACAAGTTTGCTGTACCAGGGCCGAGACTTTTCAGACCTGCATCCTTAGCCCAGGCACCAGTCAGCACAGAGTCTTGACAAGACAATCAGAGAGCTTTATTTAGAGAACAAAGTGATGTACTCACAATGTAATAGAACTGGTGAAGTGAGCTATGGAGATGCTCCACAATCTGATCCTCCTCCAGCCTGAGAGAGCAGGTCTGACACAGGTAGTAGTACGGACAGGAGTCGTCATACAGGCAGCGACACTCCAGCACAAAATGAAGTCCTGTGACAGCCATAGCACAGGGATTAGTCAGGAGTTCTGTGACTTATTCAGACTGACCCTGCTTAAAAAAATCCAGAAGAAAAGCAGAAGGGAATTCATTTATTACAAGCTCTAACTGCCAAGCGGCCAATGCTAACTGTGATGCACACTAATAAAAACAAACAAGTATGCAAATTGTCTTAAATAATGTGTTGGATTCCTTCCACTAAAATTCCTACAAATACAAATCAGCTACATAGTGCCATAACAAACTACTTCCAGATTTTTCTTCTTATTCATAACACTTGTTTCTGATCTCCAAACAAATTTACGATAAAACAAAAGAACCTGAGCAAACACCACATTTGATTCATGGAAGAAAAATCTGACCAATACCCATATTACCCATGTGACAAAGTAACTGCCCCCCTAAATAAACCAATGAACCAAATCTAATCGTTATTGGGTTAAAACTAAACTAGACACACCAAAGCTTGATTGCTGCCAGCCCTTTCAGGAGACCTGAAAAAGAAAGTTACTGAAATATATCACTTGTGAAAGGAGTACAAAACTTTCCCAAACCCTTGGATTCCAGTGAACTACTGTGAAAGCCATCATCTCCAAATGGGAAAAAAAAGAAGAAGCTTAGAGAAGTCAGAGCAGACCCCAGACGAACATCTAAGGAACTGCAGGTCTCTCTCAGATCAGTTAATGTGTTTATTCTACGATTAGAAAGACAAAAATGGCGCCCATGGGAGACAAAGAACCACTGCTAAACGAGGAACATGAAGGCTCATCTAACATTGAACACACCCTGATTACCAACAGCTTTGGGAGAATGTTCCGTGAATTGATGAGTCAAAAGTGGAACTAATTGGAAGACATAGGTCCTGCTACATCTGGCGTAAAGCTAACAGCTTTCCACACACAGAAGCCACAGTCAGACATGGTGGAGGTAATGTGATGGTGGGGGTGCTTTGCTGCTTCAGGGCCTGGGTGACTCGCCATAATGGAGGTACAGATGAATTCAGTTGTCCACCAGAAAGTACTGAAGGACAATGTCTGGTCTTCAGTCTGTAATTTGAAGCAAAGTCACTGTTGGGTTATGCAGCAGGACAATGATTCTAAGCACAGGAGCAAATCCATCTCTGAATGGCTGAGAAGAAAAAAATGTTTTCTTGCCTAAGTCCTGACCTGAACCCCATTTACATGTTGTGGCAGGACCTTAAAATAGGCAGTTCACAGTCAAAAACCCTCCAATGTGGCTGAATTAAAGCAATTATGTAGAGAAGAGTAGGCCAAAATTTATCCAAAGTGATAGACATCTCCTCAGACCACAAGCATTTTATTGCAGTTGTTGTTGCCAAAGATGACACAACCAAGTATTAAGTTTAGGCAGGCGATGGCTTTGTCATATGGGTGATAGTGAATCATTTTCCTTCAATAAATCGAATGCTCATTTTAAACCTGTGTGGTGTTTAGTCAGATTCTCCTTCGTTTTATACAAAATTTGTTTGGAGATTTGATACAAGTGTGTGCTATATATAAGCAAAATAGAGAGAATTAGGAAGGGGGCAAATACTTGGTCACAGAACTGTAGACTTTCCTTCGCATTCACAGTATTCACCCCCCACCCAGTGCACTCTCTCCACAAAGTATAAGCCTACCCACAGTACTTACCCAGCACACCAGGGTCTTCCCTTAAGCTAGACAAACGTTCCTGCAGGGTCCGCTTTCCTAATAAAGCCTTTTGCTGCACACCATCTGCTCCTTTGTGTGTGTGTGTTTGAAAAAGATTAGTGACAATTAAATGGCACCAAGAAGCCTATAGGACAAAAAGTTTTCAGGTATCACAAACACAGTCAAGTGTAGCTCCAGACAATGGCCTAAACCCATGATAAAGCCCACCAGACCTGACCTCCAACCTCAGACAATGGCCTAAACCCATGATAAAGCCCACCAGACCTGACCTCCAACCTCAGACAATGGCCTAAACTCATGATAAAGCCCCCAGACCTGACCTCCAACCTCAGACAATGGCCTAAACTCATGATAAAGCCCCCAGACCTGACCTCCAATCTCAGACAGTAAATCAAGGATCAAACATTAGGAGATCACTGCTGGCAGTCCCAAGGTAGTTGACATCCTACCAGATAATTCTTGAGGCTTGTTTCGTCCTCCTGGATCTGGGATGGGTACTTTAGATGACTGCTGCCACTGGACTGATATCTGCGGCTCAACTAAGAGAGAAAATTGATTATGCAGGTGTTGGAAAAATTAGAACACCAGTGATCATTAACAGCGTGAAAATAGAATTTTTTTCAGAAATGTTTATTTTGGACTATAGCTAGGTTTTTGAAACATTGACCAAAACAGGTCAGAATCTTTGCTCAAAGAGGCTGGGAAGAAAGTCTATGTATGCACACTGGCACGGAGTACGCCACGGAACACAGTGGCACGGAGTACGCCACGGAACACACTGGCACGGAGTACGCCACGGAACACACTGGCACGGAGTACGCCACGGAACACACTGGCACGGAGTACGCCACGGAACACACTGGCACGTTTACAAAATGCCATCCAGTACACACACCCAGCCTTGGTCTAGAGGTCATCTGGGGTTGCAGTTCACCCTGGAGTTGATCTCTCTGGATCTTCAGCTTCTCCAGGGCTAGGAAGGGAATATGCACAGGCATTCACACACACAAAGTGAAAATGATGTATAAAAGCCCACCACCATACCCTAATAAAGAAAAACATTTAAAACAAGCCTACCAGTGTCAAAGCAGGCTGGCGCCACCTTCTGGTACAAGTTTCTATCCAGCTTTTTGACCTATTAACACACATTAAATAATCAGCTTCCAAATGCTACATTACTGTAAGAATGAGCTTGGCTATTGGGGAGAGTTTAACTGAAAAGTATATGGCAGACAGGATTTACTTTCCAGAATTTACTGTGGTGCCTTATTTAACTACAAATAGATCAAAAAATAAATGCAAGTAATATATGGAGGAATGACATCACCTGAAAAAGCTGCACGTGAACCACTAATAGTTAAAATGAATAAAACATGGCAAGGCAAAGCCCCTGGGCACAGTCACCTGGGCGCGGCCCATGCCCTCTGTGCTCATCAAAGCCTGCGCAAGCTTCACCAGGTATGTGGTGTTCACCACACTGGACCCCTCATCACAGCCTTTCAGGAGATGGGGATGTTCCAATCTCTGTAGATGAAGACAGTGATGTAAAGCAATTTTGCGTAATATTATAAAAAGGGTACTTTAAGAAGCCCATGAGAATCATTGCACCAAATGTAAAGCTTTAAAGAAAGTGCGCACCTATGCAATCTGAAAAAGATCCATCAAAATTTGACATATCGTCTTAACGGGGACAAGTGTCAAAACTGCCTTTGGGACGATTTCTTTCAAAATATAATTAATTTTAATTGTGTGTGTGTGTGTGTGTGTGTGTGTGTGTGTGTGTGTGTAAATCAATTCCTGACCATAAAATGCCTGCACAAAGTTTGATAAAGATCGAAACAGTTATTGGCTCACCTACCAAAATGCTTGCAGCAGCCCAATATAATTAATTGCAAAACCTAAACTGGATTAAATATAAATTAAAACTAAATGTATGCTAATCATTGTTAAAAAATGACATGCACCAAATGTTTTCACAAGGACCACAAATTCTAAAATTTCCAGCATTCACACAGAAACTCTGAAATTAAGTTCTCCCTCCATCTCGCTATGAAATCTGTTTTCCAGACTCACCATGTAACAATACTGGTGATGCCAGTGAACAATGTGTCCACAAATGTTGGCCTTTTCCAGCTTTAGGGAACAGCTTAGGCATAAGTAGAAAGTGGGCTCTTTGAAACTGCGACACTCCACGATCTTCCCAAGCCCTACAGAAGGGAGAGCAGAAGCACGCGTGACATGCATAGGGCTCAGGTACACAGGAGAAGTCATAAGCAGCAGAAGGGTGGACAAAGCGTGACTCACTGACCAACGACGGGGAGGGCTTTCCCACTCAGGAAGGGCAGCATGAACTTGGCCAGGTGGCTCTCATCCACCGGAGCTCCAGCTGAGAGACAGGATCGGTGATTAGACCCACAGCCTTCTCACAGTCTGATCCTGCAATGTTACATTTAAATACATTCACAGAAACCCTTAAAGAGAAAGTTACTAAAAAACTGCATTTTGGAGATTTATCTGAAAGAAACCAAAAAAGACAAAAGACAAGCAAAATGCTGAGCAGGTACACAGATAATTTCTATGACAAGAAAACCACTAATGTAACTCCATATGTGATGATGACTCTGCTGGTCACTTCAACTGGACATTTTTTGATAATTAAATATGAAATAAGGAGCTGCAGTGAACAATCCATCCGTTTTCAATAAACTCTTGCTTTTCATGGACCATCTGGGCAATTCAGATAAAATAACTTGCCATTTCCACAGGTTTCACTCACTCTTTTTTATCCGGAGGAACTGGGGGTCCACAACAGAAGCTGGGAGGATGAAATGTTTAGAGGTGACCTCCTCTCTGGTGATTACTACAGGAGAAGCATACACAGGTGTGAGAAGACAACCACAGTCTTTATAGTCCTAATAGCAGAGTCAATTTTCAGTGTCCACAATGCACATACAGCGATATCATTACACACAGTTTTTGGGTGAGAAATAAGAACAGAGCAACCAGTTTCACTCGCCTTTCTTCATATCAAATTTTCCAAGATGCCGGGCTAACATTGCCCAGCCACCTGGACCAAAGGCTTCCCTCTCTGAATCACTGGCTGGAACAGAACACAAAATTTGGACATGGAGGCATAAATAATATGATGAATAATGGCAATGAGGTACAATGCAGGGAATAGAAGTTACTGTACAGCAACACAACACTCACCCATCTTTATATCTTCTGCAGGTCCTGGTAATGTCTTCCCCACTACAGGCATGTGTGGATCTTTGGTTTGTACATTTTCAGCCCGGTCTTCTGCAGGTGGGCGTGTCACTTGACCTCGTACTGGTGAAAGTGCTGGGTTTTGCGTCTTAGCACTGCTCACTTCAGCTGAAGTCGTCAGATTAAAGCGGTTACCATTTGTCGCAACATCACACAGCACTGAACATGATGACATGTAGTGGAAAGCTTTGAGCAGAAGACTCTGCTGGGTGAAAACATCTCCTCACCTCTTTGGGTAGCTGCAGGTAGAGCTCTTTCCTCCACCTTCATCTGTCCCTGGAATGCGTCTGTCAAACAATTCCAAATGCATTCGATCACACACACGAATGCAGTTATTTAAAAAATAATAAATTTAAAGAGCCTTATGAGTGGTACCATAATAAACAGTCACCTGCTGTCTTCTTTAGGTTCCCAGCATCATGGAGGTAATCCTGGTTCTTCAACATAATCTGTAGTTCATTCATAGCTGGGAGTGATCAAACAGACACTGCTAAAACACAAACTGACCGAGGCCAACTGATAAGAATTCATACCAAATCCCTAAGGCAACCCAGAATTACCTTCCCTGGTCGAAATTTTCTGTAGTTTCTGGTAGGTGGGTAGATCGAGCTTTATCACCTGGTAAACAGTTGCAAATTGTTTCAGAGAATTGCCAATTTCTTAAATTTCGTCTTTCAAAAAACCTTACATGAAATATGAATGATACTTATGCAAATGGCAAATAAACTAAGAGTAGAGATACATTGAAATGCCTCTTTTCGTAAATCTCATGATCTTGCTTTTGAGATGTACATCCATGCATACAAAATGGCCACAGTATTAGGTACACCTTGGCAGTATGGGGTTGGACCCTCTTTTGCATTCAGAACTGCTTTAATGCTCTGCAATATAGATTCAACAAGGTGACTGAAACATTCCTCAGAGATTTTGGTCTATGTTAACATGACACCATCATGCAGTTGCTGCAGATTTGGCAGCTGCACCTTCATGATGCTAATCCGTTCCACCACACCCCGTAGGTGCTCTATTGGATTGAGATCAAGCGACTGTGGAGGCCATTTGAATATTCATTGTTATGTTTAAGAAACCAATCTGAGATTACATGGGCTTTGTGACTTGTCGCATTATGTTGCTGGAAGTAGCCTTTAGAAGCTGCGCACACTGTGGTCATAAAGGGACAGCAACAATACTCAGGTAGGTTGTGGCATTTAAACGATGCTCAGTTGGTACTAAGATGCCCAAAGCTGCCAAGAAAATATCCCCTCACACCATTACACCACCAACCTGAACTGTCACAGCAGAAATTGAGACTCATCTGACCAGGCAAGGTTTTTCCAACCTTCCATTGTCCAATTTTGGTCAGCCTCTACTGGCTGTGGTCTCAGTTCCCTGTTACCTTACAGGAGTATGTTCCTTTTTTTCAAAATTTAGTGTTACGCCCCTAAGTCTTGGGTGGACTCCCAATGTTTCAGACTGAAGAAGCCTTCCACTGCTACTAAATCTGTAACTGCGTTTAACGATGCCGTTGGGCCTCGTTCAGAGCTTATTCATTGGACCGATATGGAGAAGCTAACTTCACTATTGCAGTATTGCCAGGGCATTTAAGATGCTGTTGCCCCTTTTAAAATTCGTCCATCTAAGCCAAAATCAATGCTGTCACTGAATAGAGAGATGGTTGTCTATGACAATCCCAGTAGATCAGCAGTTTCTGAAATATTCATACCAGCTTGTCTGATACCAACAACCACGCCACATTCAAAGTAACTTAAATCACATTTGTTCCCCATTCTGGTGTTGGATGTGAACAAGCTCCTGATCTGTAGCTGCGTGATTTTACACATCATACTGTTGACATATGATTGGCTGAATAGATATATCAGCAATCAGTTGAACAACTGTACCTAATGAAGTGGCCAGTGAGTGTATTCAGTTGAGAGCAAAGCTTGAGGTCCAAGAACAGAGTGAGTCATTTATCTGATGTCCATGGAGCATTTTGGGGGGGCAGAATAGGCCTGCACATTTACAGATACGGATTGATTTATAACCTTATAAAGACCTATGGCATATTCCTGTGAGTTACCAGAGTATCTCCCACACTCTCAGTCCTACACAGCTCCTTGGCAATGGAACGAAGGATAATTGGCTTGATGGGTTTTACCCCAACTCCAAATTTCTCCATGAGGTGAGGGTACTGTGATCTCTGCAAAGACAATACCAGACAATGACATCAGTCTCCTCCACTGCTAAATAATCCTCTCATTTCATTATCAGTTCAGACAGTCAGTGATAACATGTAAGTGGTAGAAACACAGTGCTAACTAATGTAGAGCCACAGAAAAAATTACAAGGTTCCATGCATCTTAAGCCAGTAACTATATCCATTTGACTCACAATATAAGAGCAGCAGTGAGAGTTGCTCTGAACATGGTTGAAGACGTCACAGGAGGAGAATCTGACACGGCAGACGTTGCAGACATAAAAAGGAGGCACCTTAGCAGCTTGGCATTCAACCACAGCTCTCAAACCTAAAGAGAGCCACAACCTTAGCTGTACAAAGAACAAGCAATCCCAGCAATCACCATCTACAAACCACACAAAAAGGGCGAAACGAGAAAATCTAAAATCCTCCACAGGTGTGTAAATGGCTACTTTGATATTCATAAGTACTGGAGCAGACATACTGGATACTGAATGAGAGCTACAGTTCAGTCAGAATACAAGTAGTAAAAAAGCTTGTAGGTTCCCGGGATAAAAGAAAAACTAACCAACAATCCTTTTTGTCCATTTGCCACTCAGGTATTTGGAGGCAAAAGCTGATCGGAGAGATTGTCTGCATGGACCCAATTTGGGCCAAGTGCCTTCTGCTAGAATGGAAGTGATTGGAAAGGATTAGCCAGAGTTAGAAATGCATAGCCAGTAAAAAAAAAAAAAAAAAAAAAAAAAAAGAGCCTGGTTTAGGTTTATGATGTAAGGATGGTGCGTCTGATGCTATTCTCTACAATGGATATAAACAAGTGTACACACCCATGTTAGAATGCAAGGTTTTTGTGATGCAAGAAAATGAGACAAATCGTTTCAAAACTGTTCCCTCCTTTAATGTGACCTATAAGCTGAAAAGCAAACTGATCAACAAATTGAAAAAACATGTGTCGGGGGGGAAAACAAATAAAAAATTTTTTTTAAAAAACCATATTGCTTATATTTTTCTTTGTTCAGTAAACCACTGTTTAATAAAGTATGACTTTTTTTTTTTTTATATAAAAAGCCCCTGTCGACCTACTAAACCAACATTCACTTAATATTTGTTTTGTTTTCCTTTTCTCTCAAGTAAATAAAAATATCCATTAAGGGGCACATTTAGAAAATTAACTGTACTTGATCTGTACTGTATATTGCGCACACACAAACACACACGCAC